CTTTGAAGGCAGTTCAGTAGTAGGTCTCAATGACTACAAAGTGAAAGTAAAAGGCAAGGAGAAAGTTTACCACGCTAACCTCCTTAAAAAGTATTTTGAGCGAGAGGAGACTACAGTCGAAGGAGCAGTAGCTGTTGGAGCAGGCGCTACGAGTATAGACGATGCTGTCGACTGTGCGGCTAAAGTTGATGAAGCAGAGGAAGAAGAGGTCGATTTCCTAGAGCTTGGTGGTTATGTAGCCAAGGAATCAATTGAGGATATTGCAACTGGACCAAATCTTCCGGACGAGCAACGAACTGAATTTACGGATCTGGCTAAGCAGTTCACGAATTTGTTTACTGAAGCACCAGGTACCACAGATCTTGTTCAGCATCATATTAAACTCACCTCAGACGAGCCAGTCAGATCAAGACCTTACCCAGTACCTTACAGCATGAGAGAATCACTGAGAAAAGATATTACTGACATGATCAAGATGGGAGTTATTAGAGAGTCCAGTTCTCCGTACGCGTCACCTGTTGTAGTAGTGAAGAAAAAAGACAACACAAACCGCGTGTGCGTTGATTATCGGAAATTGAATAAACTAACTGTATTTGATCCTGAGCCTATGCCAACCGCTGAACACTTGTTCCAGAAGCTTAGTGGAGACAAATTCTTCTCAAAAATTGACCTTAGCAAGGGTTACTGGCAGATATCTATACCAGAGGAGGACATTCCGAAAACTGCGTTCGTAACACCTGACGGGTCGTACGAGTTTTTGAAGATGCCGTTTGGAATGATTAACTCGGCGGCCACACTGAAGCGTGCAATGAAGAAATTGATAGAAGATCTACAATCTTGGACAAAACTGTTGAGAAAATTGTATACTTGGACAGCGTTTTTCTAAACATCGTAGCTGTAGCGGTTCTTCCCTCTCCCCCTTCCCCTGAAAGCAATGTTGTTGTGTATTCAAAAGAAAGCCTGATCCCTGGGCGTTTGTAGGAAGCAACATTGAATTGGGGCAAGGGGTTTTCTTTCCGCAAAGGCGTCGTTTTGGAAATAGTTTTGTTGCGTAGGAAAGTGGACATGATGGGGAAAACTTTCTCAAGTAGTTTTGTCCGGGATTGTATTTGACTGGGAAAGGCGATTTGCAGCCTTTAACGAGCAAAAGGCGGAAAAAGTGCTGTTAAGGTGACTCAAGTTTGGGGAAATCGATGTCATTGTATTTTTTCAATGTATCAAATGCTATCTTATAATTCTTATAATCTCAACCATCCACCAAGTAATCTCCTCTTCAGATATTAGGTCTTATCAGAGCGACTAAGACTGAATAGATCCATTATAATACCTAGTGTAAAGACTGATCGTTTTAAAAATAGCTCTTTTAAAAGATAAGTTATTAAGTATAACCTAGCTGTATAGATATTAGACTAAGAATTTTTTAACTTAATTTACTTGTATAAATGTTTTAAAAGAGATTTCAGAATTTTTTTATTACTATTATTTTTCTTTACTTGGATACAGCTGTATGTTGCACTTGATTCTTTTATTTTCAATGCAACATCCGAAGTATTTTTTTTGTGTGATATATAAATTATAAACTATTATAAATTATCATTATTTTTATTTTTATCATTATTATCATACTCAGCCTAAACTATTAATTGCTTATTATGGCCTGCACGAAAATACGTTGAGCTTGAGAAAGACCTAAAAACGTGGATGTACCGGAAAGCAAAAGGAACTTCCCCTAATAAGGTTGCTCAGCGTTATCAAATTCACCTTCGCCAGCTGTCCTGAATTTGAGCTCGAATTGTACGAAAAATATATCAAGCATGGTGCTGCTGGAGGCCTGTGACCTCTCCAAAAATTCAATTCAATTCAATTTAAGAAGTATTATAGGATGCCTAGGGGGCATGATCACATTTCGCTTGTATTTTGGACATCTTTTCGGGACATTTTTCTTAAAGTTTTCTTAGAATAAGAATCTAATGGAAAAAAAAAGATCCTTGTGCCCTGTATGGATGTAATAATGATCGCCTTTTTCTTGAGAAATATACAGTGAAAGACCATATTTCTAATACTAAACTAGAAAAAGGCGAATATTATTAGATTCAAACAGGGCACAAGGATCTTCTTTCCCATTACAATCTCTTAAGATATATTCTTTCACAGCTCCAGTGCTAGTGCTGCTTTGCTGGTTTTCCGTAGTGACCCATCTACTGTCGATAGTGCCCAAGGAAGAGGTCCCAACGGATGACAGAGGACATCTCTCATGTGAAGTTGTCTGTTTTCTGCGATTATAACCATTTGACCAAAAATGAGCTCTATCAGCTATTATGATGATCTTGTTTGCTGTTTTGTTCTTGAATTTCACCCTCTTGTTAAGTTCAGAGAATGTCTTCAGCTTTGATTTCTTCATGGTCTCGTGAAATTTGACTGGCGGATTTGCCTCCAAGCGCTGTGCACGAAATTCTTTTTATGCCTTTTTCCGATAACTTTTGCCCCCAACAGGCCTTCCTCTATCTTTTGGGTGGCAACCTTTCCGGTGAACAAACATACCAGATCCTACTGCTTAACACTGAATGGATTTATCCAGTTGCTTTCTAGCATAGCAATCAGCGACTTCACGTCAGCGTCGTCTCTTGCAATTCTTGTTTTTTGAAGATCAGTATGCACAGAATTGGATTTGCTTAGATTTAGCGTGTCCCTCAGCTGCTTCAAAAAAATACTGCGAAATTCAGAAACTATATACTAGGCATCCTATAATACTTCTTAAATTGAATTGAATTGCTTTAAGACTGAAGCCTTTGGTGCCCCCGGTTGTCTGGGTGTCCTTATTGACCGTTTCCTTGCATGTTTGATCAAGTGGAACCCTACCAAAGGGGTTTTGGTCACCGATCTGGACATAGAATCCACCAGAATTAAGAAATTCATGAGCCTCAGGATGGGTCTCTTCGAGGTGGGTCATCTCAGACAGGTATGCAGGTAAATAGCGGGCTATAAACTCTGGGAAACTTTGACTATCCAAGACCCTCTGTTGTTCCTTTTGGCACAGGTTGTCGTATAAAGGTTTCAATCCGGCAAAGAAATCTTGGATAAACTGTTTCTTCTCGGGGAACTTTACTTCTACACACGTCTGAAATCCTTTCCAGATAAGTCTTTGGAGTGCTTCATACATCAGTTTATGAAACCTGATAGCACGGTTGTATCTACGTCCTTCAAGAAGTCCTGTCACAGAACCGTCAGCAATTACCCCTGATTCAATGCAAACGTCCCTTAAACCAGCGGCTTGGAATCTCTTCCCGATTATGGAAAGAAGTGTGCACACTGTATGGAAGACACCCATCCGAATAACAATATCTGAAAACTTGTCTGGATGTTTCCAAGCTATCTCTGTTGTCTTGGCATACAGAGCTTGATCAAATACGAGTACTATGCTCTTCAGTTTAAGAGCTTCCCTTATCTTCTGGGAGCGGACCAAAATCTCATGAGCAGTTGACGTGCTAGTGGCAGGTGCATCAATGGTGGGGAGGTATCCGATGTTGTCTTCACGAGCCTCAATTTCGTTGCGCCCCAAAATGCTATAGCCAGTCCATCCACTAATTTTCTGGCTCACCTGTGCATGTATTCGCACTAACACCCAAAAAAGGTTTTTTCTTCGGGCATTTTCTAACGCTTCCTGGTCGTTTACTTCAACATATGATCTTGGCGTAGGGCCTTGACGCTCACCTGCTTTGTAAATGGGTGGAGCAACAACATCAAGTGGCTCAACACTCCTTTGCTTACTTCTAGTGATCCCAGGTGGCTGCTCAGTGAGGGGATGGGAACCAAAATGTCTCGCCTGTACTGCTATGCCGTTTACACGGTGTGAAGTGCCTTCACCTGAAAGAGTCTCTTCGAGTCTGTCAATATTATCCTATGCTAATGTGGTACTAACATGATGTTGTATATTGGCAGGTAGAGGAATTTCACCTATTGTTGTTGCCATTTTCTGCGTACAAAGAGCAGTGTCAATTTCCTCAAGCTGGGAATAAGAAATACCATGACCATAACGGTTTAGTATAGACACCAGCTCAACATTGGTTGTGAGAGTTTTTACAGCATACGAGAGAAGAATTTGTTTAGGTGGCTTAATCCTCCCTCTGGTTACTCCAAATACTAGGTCTTGCGCGAACGACTTTATCAACCGCTGGACTCTTTGACAACATTCTCCCTCTGACGAATCATTGTTGCCAGTCAGCAAGGTATACAAAAACACACTTAGCTCTTCAAGGACCTCTATGGCGCTGTCATTGAGCTNGGGAGGTATCCGATGTTGTCTTCACGAGCCTCAATTTCGTTGCGCCCCAAAATGCTATAGCCAGTCCATCCACTAATTTTCTGGCTCACCTGTGCATGTATTCGCACTAACACCCAAAAAAGGTTTTTTCTTCGGGCATTTTCTAACGCTTCCTGGTCGTTTACTTCAACATATGATCTTGGCGTAGGGCCTTGACGCTCACCTGCTTTGTAAATGGGTGGAGCAACAACATCAAGTGGCTCAACACTCCTTTGCTTACTTCTAGTGATCCCAGGTGGCTGCTCAGTGAGGGGATGGGAACCAAAATGTCTCGCCTGTACTGCTATGCCGTTTACACGGTGTGAAGTGCCTTCACCTGAAAGAGTCTCTTCGAGTCTGTCAATATTATCCTATGCTAATGTGGTACTAACATGATGTTGTATATTGGCAGGTAGAGGAATTTCACCTATTGTTGTTGCCATTTTCTGCGTACAAAGAGCAGTGTCAATTTCCTCAAGCTGGGAATAAGAAATACCATGACCATAACGGTTTAGTATAGACACCAGCTCAACATTGGTTGTGAGAGTTTTTACAGCATACGAGAGAAGAATTTGTTTAGGTGGCTTAATCCTCCCTCTGGTTACTCCAAATACTAGGTCTTGCGCGAACGACTTTATCAACCGCTGGACTCTTTGACAACATTCTCCCTCTGACGAATCATTGTTGCCAGTCAGCAAGGTATACAAAAACACACTTAGCTCTTCAAGGACCTCTATGGCGCTGTCATTGAGCTCTGAAGGGCGCGGTGGCTATGACATTTTGTTCTCTTCGTTTCCAATGGCATCGCGGATGTCAGCTGCAGCTTTCTGAATATTGGAGTTCTTCGTTGTTGAGCCTTTGTCTTCTTTTTCTGCCATAAGGATATTTAGTACATTTCTGACGATTTGTACTGGTGTTAGGCTATTAGGGATTAGGACTTGTACACGGTTGTTGTCTAGCAAGTTTTCAAACCTGATCAACTCATTGAATTCTGCTTCTAAGTTCCTTTTGATATGCTTCTTTGTTGATGGCTTACATTCCTTGGTTCCTAATGACATTAGATACTGTAAAAGTAACTGCGTCATCTCAGACAGCCTTACGACTTTCTCGTTTTCAATCACATCTGACCTGATAAAGTCAAAAAGCATCTGGTAAGCATCAGACTCTAGACGGGCATATTCATCATCCGGAGATTCACTGCTCATATCAGGGTTCACACTGCTGCTTGCTTCTGGTCTAGTGTAACTCCTGTACCATGTCCTGTGATAACAAGCCTCTGCTGCAACTAATTCGCGCGAAACAAGGGCTAGAATCTTGCTGTCATTCTTTTGTGTAGCTATCTTTCTGATAGAGCTATCTCGGCATTGTACTAAAAGGCTGACGATTTCTACCCTTGAATTATTTTGGCTTTTCACAAAAAATACAAATGCGCTCGTATGTTATGGAAATGTTGGAACATCCTCGAATAGAGACTCTCCTAGCCACTTGTTCCGGTTGAGTCCGGATATTGGATGATTGCAGGGATAATTTATCTAATACATTTTTCATTGTAAAAATGCTTCGACACTTTCGATGGTAGTAAATGAGCGGGACTTCTCCTTTGCTTAAAGACTTTGAAAGTTCTACAATTTCTTGATGATTTCGAATCTGTGCTGCTTGTAGCAAGGTTTTCCACGACTCCGCGTCTTTAGGATTAACTAAATCACTGCTATCGTCGGTGCAGTGAATGATACACTTCTTCTTGCAGAATCGTTTGACTGCATTTGACTCCTCAGCATCATCAACACTTCTCTTAGATGAGGACCCTATTTGTATCAGATGAATATTTTTCAGCGTTTAAGTTGCAATGCAACTACAGCTGAGACGGGGACATAACAGCACATACGGTATATTATAATTTACAAAACTCTGGACTTCCAAAAGTTTTTTTTTTGTCACCATAGTGGTGCCACGATTTGGAATGAGTTACCACAAAAAACATACGAAAGTCAATTCCAAAGGGAAATAAACCTGTTTAGCTCTCTAGTTTTCTGATTCCCGGCACACGATAATCATGTAAGCCATTCAGGTACGTGTAGTCTTTATATTCTTTTTACTTCACTTAACTTTTTTAGACTGATGATTTTAGCGTGTTTAAAGAAACCATATGTATGTATTCATTAAAAATGGCATATCATATGGAATCTTCATTACCGAATAACCGATACGTCAAATAATGTTGACTGCAACAGGTTGATTCCTAAAATTAGATTATATTTCAAACTTTATAAATATATAAACAGATGTGTATGATCGGTATGAGCAAAAATTATACATTCAATTTCTATCGGATTATCCAAGTGAACATTCTACAAGATCTGTAAGTATTTCCTAAATTCTGCTTATTAAGTCAAAACTTCAAAGACTTTTGCCTCAAAAAGTTTAAGCGCGTTATTAACTAGATGATTTTGCTGACTTTTCGTGAAATTATTGCGTTTTACACGGTAAAATGGCTATTAATCCGGCAAATCAAGAACCCACTCACCTTCCATGGTAGCCGCCATTTTAGATTTTACCCATAATGCTATTCGAAGGCTACTTTTGAGTTTTCCTCGCTCTACTTTGGTTAAATTCGGAACAATTAATAGCGGGGATCCCTCGCGCGCGAAGCGCGCGTGGGACAGAGCCCCATACTCAAAGAATATGGTCAACCTCTTTTCTTTTGGTTGTCACGTGACTGACCGAGCGTACGTACGTACGCGTCTACAGATTGTACGGGTAGGGTAGGGGAAACTATCAAAAAGAAGGGAGGGGTGTCTCAGGCGTGTCTTGGCAAATCCACATCTTTTACATTGGCCATTCACAATATGGTCAACTGACAGCTGTCAAAACAGGATAGCCACTGACCAGTATCACATTGCCATATCGAGGGCTCATGTGCCAACTCATCAAGGTGACGTGATTTATTTGGAAGCTGTCCGCTGACCAGTTGTTTTACTAGATCGTGATCAATGTTCAATCTCATACTTTCTAGCTTATTTGAGAGCACAGAAAAACTGATAATGCACACATCCATTGGACATCAATGTTGTGATCAATTGACAGCTGTCAAAACAGGGTATCCGCTGACCAGTATCACTTAACCGTATCGCGGGCTCAGGTGTTGACCCATCGAGGTCAATTATTTTTTTGAAGTTATCCGCTGACAAGTTACTACTTTTCAAATGATCGCAGGCTCAAGTCCGATTTTTTTTTCATTCATATCAAATATGATTTGTTTTTTGGCCGCACAATTAAAATTTTGGTTTAAAACTGACTTCGGACCCGAAAATTCAAACAGCTATTACAGGCAGGGAAGACAATTGCTTTTGACTTTGCTTACCATGGTCACGCGTTGGTCACGCTCTACGTCCATTTTTTATGCTCTGCTTGGTCAAAATTTGACAGGTGAGCTCATGCGGAAAACTTATGCAGCACCTTGAATCTTGTTTACCTGGACAGCTGAAGCTGACAGAGTTTTGTGTCAACTTGTGATGTTTTTAACTGTCTTTTTCCACTTGATGCACAAAATGAAATTCAGCTACTATCGAGAGTCTTCTGTTATTCATGGCTAGTTGGTTTTTGGTTGAGAAATTAATACATCACTTGTCATAGTCGGGAATCCGATTTCGGATGGCATCGTTTTCGTTTTTCACCTTGCTTGATGCGTAAAGGTCTGAAGCGATACTGGCCTTACTTGATACCTTTCAGGAGCTGCATCTCGAATGGTAAGCCTCAGTAATTATTGTGTTTGATGTTTGTTTTTTTATATCTAATTTAATGAAGTCGAGCGTAGTTTATGCGGCTATGTAGTTTATGCACGATTGTAGGATTTAAGACAATTTGATCTGACCAAGAATCAGGTGTTGATATAAGCTTTTACAACTTTAAAAAGTTTTTAGACATTTTCTGACCGCAAATGGAAAGAAAACGTTCCCAAGAACATTTAGTTACAATTCTGGCTGTAAAAGAATGCTTTGAGCGATTTTCTTGCTTCGAGTTCATCTTTGAAAAAAGTAAATACCGGGAAGCCGGCTTAAAACATAAACTTAAGCTTTAAGCTTGAAGACTCAGGAGTTTTAGAGACACTTTAATACTTGTCTTCGTGAATGAAAAATGTTGTCTCTGTATATGTTTCGCCGAATTATATTTCCTTTATTGATTGTTGGTAGTCTCTCTTGTAATTTTAATCGCTGTGCCGTTTGTTTTCAGTCCGCCGTTCAATCGCTTGCAGGAGTACTCAAAATGCCGCGCGTATCAAACGCTTTTAAAGATTACACATCGATAAAACCATTCAATAAAAAGTAAACATAATAATTTCTTTATTATGTTGGAGCTTAACTCTAGTATGTTCGTTCAAACATTCGCTACAACTGGCACTTCAAAAGTGAGAACTGGCTGGCCGTATATGTGATTTTGGAAATTTTTTTAACGGTTTAGCTAAAAGCCCACGCGTGGTTCGATCGTCCTGAATATTGAATGAGTGCAATTTGTGTTGCAAAATTGTGAAATACTGCATTCTGCCCGAGGTCTGTATGATAAAAACAGTACCTCATAGTACTGTCTCACCTCAGATGTGATGTATAAATGGTATAAAAGGTTGGTTTACACGCAACCAGATTTGTTGGCAAGATTTTGTAAAGTAAACTTGTCGAACGCAAAAAAATTCGACCTGATTTTTTTTTCCAGGCCTAATTAATCTTACGGTGATCAAGAGCCATTGTGGCTCTTAAATGTGATCGAAGATGATTGCTATTTTTTGGTTGTACATATGAGGTTATCAACTTGATGTAAGATTTTGTTCAATCTTGGGCTGTTTGCAAATTATTTTTCTTTAAAATCACTTAGCCTTTCCCTCAAAAGTCATATGAATGTGCTATGTGCTCTAAAGTTAACTGAATTGTGGAATACAAGTTCATTGTTTGATTTAAATTATAAATATACTAATGGGAGCCTCGCTTTTAGCCCTGGCTAAATCTATATATTATTTTAGCGATAAAAAACGCAATAAACTTCTCATGTCTGATAATAAAGTAGACTACAAAAGATATAGAACATATTAAGTGCACATTTAGTGGGCCTGGTTGGTATCTCAAAGGTCATTTCCGGCACTTTCACATGAAAAAAATACCCTGAAAGCTACAACTACAGAAAGGTTATCATACAAATTTTCAATCTCCACCTTATGTGCTATCAATGCGCAGCAATCATCCTTTTCCTTCTAGTTGGTACCAAAATCACGATTGGCCCATGGACTAAAAGGTCTATCTGCCAGCAGATAACTAACTAATCTGTAGGTTGAGCCTGCAATGCATGATTTCTAAGAACAAACTGTGTATGCTGTGTTTGTCCCAATTTTCTTGAAAACACTGTACAGGGCTGCGAACATTTTTTTTCTATTGAGAGGATATATGTCCCACTAAGACAGCATCTTGGCTGGACAAACAAAGTTTTAGTTGGACATCACCATCACCATGTACATAATGCCAATTACAAGTCCTTATTCTCAGTAGAACCTAGTGTAAGTGCAGAAATATTACTTGAAAATAATAACATCATTGTTTCATGTAAACAAATTTGTCCCCAAGCATTGCATTTACAGGCAAAAAGAATGAACTGTAGGCCAACAAATTTCAAAAACCTCTATTCTTGACTTGCAACCACGTGACAAGGCGGTCATATTGGTGTGTCGGAGGTCATTACGATAGAATGTTTTTTTGAAGAATTTACATGAAAATGGGGTTTAGTTCCCGCAGGAGAAAAATTGTTCTTAACCCTAACACACCACAAATATGGCAATTATGGTGACGTCAAGTGCAAACCAGCAATTGTAATCCATTTTAATCTTCTTCAAGTTTCTCTATCTGAGCCTCCTTTTGTGTTTGCTCTCTTGTTTATACCTTCTTCAACTGTTGTGAGTGGTTATTTTTATGTTTCAGTCAATATAGTGGCGATTTCATCTGTTTAAATTTTGATAAATTTTGTGCCACAGCTCCTTTATAAAACAGTGATTTCATTGAACACTTAAAATGATTTAAATAGTTTAAAAAGAGGGCAGCTTACATTTTCTTGCTATCTTATTTTCCAGCAAAATCCTGAGTCTTAGAGCGCTTTAGTAGTACAGTCCTTA